TGAGAGCTTATTTAATTATTATTTGCCATGAAAACGACGAAAACGACGCTCATAGCCCACTGATAAGGTGTTTTTGCGGTAAACGAGTATGATATTCGTGTTCAGGAGACCGAATTTTCCCTGGTTACAAGTTTCCAGCTGAATCTGAGATTTTGACCTACACTCGAGAAAGGGCAGTCAACATACAGTCAAACGAGAGAAGGTATGAATCGAAAACTAACTGGAAAAGCACCTTCCCTGAATTTTGATGCAGAGTCATGTAAATCATTTCCATTATGCGGAAATGTGAGCCGTTGAACGTTTCTCTTTTCAAAATCTTGGTTGGAAGGGCAATTTCCATGCCAAGAGTTCAACGATGATATGATGGTTGACTCACCTCATTTTTTAGGGTTGGGTCAAAATCTCAGATTCGGTAGGAAACTTATCTCCAAGGGTAGTTTGATCTCCTGAACACGAATATCACGCCTGTTTGCCGCGAAAAAGCCTGACACGTGCATTACGGGCACCATGTTCATACATGGACGACTACTGCCCAAACCTGCAAGGAACTGCTCGAAATTTTTTCGTACAGGGAACTAATGGCAAAGTTGATAAATTAAGAAGTTAGAAGCTTTCTGGCTACATCTTCACGAAGCACAAAAGAAACAGACTCTCCGAGGAACCGTTCCCACGACCTCTTGCTCGCGAGTTCGGGGCACTGCCACTGCGCTTCCTTGCTTTATAACTACGTTCAAAGAATCGTTTAGCAGATAAGGAAGGCAGTTCTGAGCTCAGCGCCTCGAGGCGACTTCAACGGTATACGACTCATTGCAAATGGCCGGACCGGCCTGATGACCTTCCCTCGTCAGTAAAAAGGATAAGTAAGAGGAAAATCAAACGATCGGAGTCTCAAGCAATATGATAGCACACATAGACACATAGATACTTGGGTACAGACAAAAGCGGGACTTCCTTGTGAGCTGCGAATCAAAACAGGCCTCCTCACTCTTATTTTCCTAGCCCACACATTTTATTTAGCTCAATAAATAACTGAACGGCCTTTCAGCACACAAGTGAGTAATTATTTTACGAAATGATAACTGTTCACGACAAAATTCCTAGGTTCATGAAGAATCTTCACATCAAAGCAACTGGCTCAACGACAAAAGACAGTAACCAGAAATTCTTCATGTATGGAAGAAATTTGAGGCAGGATAACAAACGAACCTTCGTCGTAGCTCGGTTTGAATGTGCTCATCTGGTTTGCATGGTGCTTTTT